TTTACCTTATATCCATTTAACAAGTGTTCGACTTGTCCATTCGAGTCGAGTGTTCTTCTCCATGCCTTTTCCTCCGCCTGCCCGATTCATCACCGCGTATCAAAGTCTTTTCCCTGCGCCCTCCTCTTTCCCACGCTGTCTGCGGCGGCCTTTTTGCACATGCTCCCTCCCTCCCCATCGCCGTTCCAACCATTCCTCCCAACCTTCCTCTCCCACCGACTCTTTGCATCCCCGTCAAAACCTTTCTTGTCTTTCCCCACCTTTTCCTTCCTCCATATCCTTCTCGTTACCCCCCGACCTTTCCCTTTCAGCAGCTCTTCCCAGAGCCCCCGCCCCCCTCGTCTCTCGTCACGCTGCGCCGCCCAACCTACCGCGTTGGGCGCATGCCGAAGGTCATGGGGACAAAGTGGTTTATTGTATAAGCGAGCTTTTCCTCAAAGGTTGATGTGCACATCGCGTCACAACGTTCATTTTGAAATCGCCGAATAAATTCTTTTGATCTATCGCGCGTGTGTCCGTACCTCATCGCTTGTCTGCAGGTACCTCACTGGTGTTCAACGATCTCTCCCTCTTGCCCCTCACGCTTCTATGTTCTTTGCCACCACACCCTCCCTATCCTCTAGCCTTTCCAGCTAGCCTTTCTTTTCTTTTTTTTTCTTTTTTTTTCTTTTTTTTTTTAACTACACACATGCGTGGGTGCCCCTTCTATTGTGGGGGGCGTCAGTCCGGTTACTTTCACCCCTTTCTGTAACCTGTACATCTCCCAAATTTTCCATTTTACCCACTCTTTCATGCTTTCTCTCACGCCCTGTGCCTGACAAACGCTGAAAAAAAATTATAAGGCACCCTCCACGTCACACCATCCCCGTGCAAGCATACCCCAGATACACCCCCCCTGAAGATAATAGGGGGCTCGTTGTAAAGGCATGAGGTCCCACCACATAGAGATAGAGATATAATGACGCCATTTCCAGCTCCCTTATTCACCTCAGTATTCCGTCCGCGCGGTGCCGACACAAAAAAGGGAAGGAGAACTCCATTGAGCAGATACAGACAACTGTCACAAATGCTCACTGCTTAAGCAGGAATTGCTAGATAGTAGAATAACAGAAACCACCACCTTCTTTCCTATTTTTTTTGGACTACTAGAAAAGCTAGTGGAAACCTCTTATAGTAAGTTAGCAAAGCATCAAAATTTTGAGTTAATCAGAACATCTTATCTTATTACTGCTTAAAGTGCGAGTCCGGTGGCGGGCCCTGGATTGCCGAATCAAATCGTTTTGACCCCGAGTGAATCGATGTGGTCCCCACCACGCCAATACATCGACAGAGCGCCCCACTTGCATATGGCCGAAAGTTTCAGACGAGGGGGCTCGCACTGGTGGTTTAAACCACTAGTACCTTTGCCATCCGGTTTCGACAAGTTTTGGTCTAGTCCCGAACTTTTCGGAGGCCGGGCCCGACAACGGCTGCCGTTGATAAATCTGACTGATCGGCGGTCGTCGTTTCGTTTCCGCCTCCTGAAAGGTCGGAGGCCCACAATTTTCCGAACCAACAAAGGTACTAGTGGTTTAAGTAGAATCAACTTTGTAAGGCTGCGGGGGCTCGTGCTGGTGGTTTAAGTAGAAACAAACTTAGTGAAGCAGAAAAAGAAAATGACTTGGAAGACTCACCTCGTCGTGGGTGAGAAAGGAGTAGGCGGTTCCACATCTCCCAGCACGTGCAGCTCGGCCAACACGATGAACAAATAGCTTAGGCTTTGATGGAAAGTCTGCAAAAAAAAAAAGAGACCACAACCATGTATGTAGTAAGCAGCGAGAAAACAGTTTCTGGTATTCTGCTTCATTCCCGCGACTTCGACCCAGTATCCACACGTTCACCTGGACTCGTTTCAGCCTCGCATTCACTGAGCAGTGCACACATTTGGCAGAATGGTACATGTAAGTTACTATTGAGATGATGAGGTCAGATCATGAGTTCAATTCCGGCTGGAATCAGATGAACGCAACACAATAATATAAGTAATCCTCTTACAAGCTGGCACCAGCCAAAAGAAAAGGAAATAAAAGCGCCGCGCTGGTGTTCCGGCAAAGCTTGGTGCTTCAGAGGGAAATCTGCCTCGGCAGCAAAAGGAGGCCCGGATGAACTGGTGGTTTAAAGTTTAAACATACAAAAAGGGGGTAAGCCATCAATAAACGCCACATGCCAGATCCTTTACATCATGACCTTCAACTCATAATGGTCTAGACTATCCCCTAGCATTATCGGATTCATCTGACTCCAGCAGAATTTGAGCTCACGATTTGTTCATCGACACAACTTAAAGAGTTTATCGCCAACCTCTTATCTCTTCGAGGATATATATATATATTCTCGAATTAATTGTAGTCCACTAAGTGGCACTAACTAATAATTTACTAAATAAAAAAACAATGTGGAAACGAGAAGTCGCCCATACTTCAATTCACCAAATCAAATTCATAACGACGTGAAGCACAGACAGGTCGTGGTGTCCCCTCAGCGTACCGTAATTCACGACGTTGTCAAGCAGCGGAATGTCGATACCGCGAGCCGCAACGTCCGTCACAATCAAATACATCTGCACGAAAAGATTGCAAGGCATCATGGACACGACACAGTGAAGTCAACACATCAGTCTGCACTGTTGTTCTTGCGAAAAGTACCTTGCAAATGTCGCGGCCCATCCAACGTCCAACACAGCCAAGTACGTCACCGAAGCAATACACAAGCGACAAAACTGCAATCGTGAAGAGTGACGTCCAGCATCCAACACAGCCATGCACATCAGCGAAGCAATACTCTATTACACACACACACATGACAAAACTGCAACCACACGAATGCAATACAAACAGCAGAAAGGCTGAGCAAGTCGATAGCACGGTGGCGAGGCTCATCATGCTTGCAAATGCCGCGGCCCATCACAATCAATGCACAGACACAAAACAAGGATGCAAGGAAGTCAGTCAAGCAATGAAAGTGATGAAAAACAATGTGCTCTACAACATGCACAACAGCCAAAGCAACAAGGACTTGATGATGAATACTGCCCAATCGCCAGAGCGGGGTGGTGGGTCAGCCACTGTACTCGATGATTGAAAAACATTTGTGAGGAGGAGGGGGGGAGGGGGGGGAGGGGGGGAAAGGGGGGAGGCCACTGTACTCCATGATAGAAAAGAAATTGTGAGGACAAGAGCCTGTTTTTCGCTTCACGATTGCGGGGACGTCGGCATCATCAATGGCTTCACAATCTCGGGGACGTGGGCATTCATCAATTCGCAGACTGTATGTCCAAACAGGAAGACGCGTACCTCATCCCATGGCAGGCTTTGGCCTGGCGTCTTCACCTGGATCGAACGCCTGGTATTTATTGCCGTTTCTGGACTGAAAGTTGCACCAAATACAGCTATAATGATCGGGCACTCTGTTCGGGTGAAGACGGTAGGACAGAATCTGGTCAGCATGAGCTCCAACACGGCACGACACTCGACTGGAGGGACTTCGAAAAAAGGGCATTGAAAGTGTGACCATCGGTGATCAATGCTCAGAGAGAGAACAGCTTTTCCTGTCTTAGCACTAATGTATTACATTTCTTTTTCAATTCTCTGCAGAGAGCGGCAGGAATCGCAACGGGGAGGGGGKGGGGAGGCAGAAGGTGGGGGCAGGAGGGGTCTTCATACCAGTCCAGACTCCATAGGTCTTTATTTCTTAAAAACTTTTCTTTTTTTTCCTGGGGTGTCTTGATGAGGGAAGGGCACGGTGGACGAGGAACAGTTTCCAAATCAAGAAAGCTGTTGCAAACCAGGTCGCAACTTTCCTTCTTTTTTGGAGATTTTTCAAATATTGCCTGACATTGCTGACAAGCAAAAACTTGGAAGGAAAAAAAAAAGCAAGAGAGAACAGCAAAGCAAAGGAAAAGAATGAATGGATAAAGAAGTTGATTACCAACCGTCTTTCGGTTGCGGAAGCGTGCCGTGTTTATCTTACGAGCTGTCTGGTCCATCGCGCCATAGACAACCGACGCATAGATGCCCTCCTGAAGGAAAAGCTCATTGAGATAATCTACATGATGCTTTGTCGCAACAAATATGATCTGCATCAGGAAAAAAAACACATGGGGCTTAGGGCTTATATACCTCACATGGGACGTATCTGGCAGTTATTCCGGCTAAAATGCAATGAAAAGAGCAAACTTTGTTCCGGCTTATAGATTCAATCAACTCATCTAACCGCTTACTTCAGACAAGGACTTTACAACAGGATGTTCAATCAACTCAAGTTACTAAACTACTACCAGTTAAGGCCTTTTACTTCACACTAGATGCCTGTTGCGGCTTTGCTCGCAAAAACATTTATGACGGATGATGCATTCATGGTGGACTCTCTCTCTCTCTCTCTCTCTCTCTCTCTCTCTCTCTCTCTCTCTCTCTCTCTCTCTCTCTCTCTC